TTGATGTTGGGGTCATGAGTTCAAGCCCCGCATTGGGTATATGGATTATTTAATAAATAAAACTTTTTAAAAAAGGAAGTTAGAAAAAGAAGGGCAGAATAAACCCAAAGAAAGTAAAAGGAAGGAAAATAATTTAAAAAATTATACCAGAGAATAAAATGAAACAGAAAACAAAGAAATAATAGAAAATTGGAATGAAACCAAAAAGTGTCTCTTTGAAGCAATTAATAATTAGATATATTTCTTGCAAATATATCAAGAAAAAATGAGTAAAACATAAATAAACAATATTAGGAATGAAAAAGGGAAAATAACTATAGATCTAGCAGTGATTTAAACATTTACACCCATAAATCTGAAACAGATTAAATAGATAATCTCCCAGAAAAATATAACCTACCAAACTGACCCTAGAAGAAACTGAAAACCTGAATTAAATCAGCAGTGAAAAGCCTACACTCAAAATACACCCATAACACACAAATACACAAGTTCTACCAAGCCTTCAAGGAACAGATTATCCCTATTTTATAACATCTGCATAGAAGAAAAACTATTATGGCTCAAAAAGAGAAGCGGCCAAAGAAAAAAACAGGGTGGTGTCTAAAAACCTAAACCAAAGGAAGAAACAATTCTCAAGAGGGTGGAGGGAGAGCTGTGAGATCACACATAGCTTAGCAAAATTTCCTGGCTGAAGCACTCCTCACCCCTGAGGGGACAAGCACCCTGTCTCTGCCCTCCAGGGTGCTGCAGTAATGACCATTACTAATAACTTTACATTTGTCTTTGAGATGATTTGATCAATTTCTGATTCACTGGTATGTCCATTCCATGAGGGAAGAAACCACGTTTATTTTCTTTCATCTTTGTGACCCATTACTTAGCTGGTACCTGGCACAGAATGGACATGCAACAAATTCTTGTCGAATGAGGAGTGGAATTTAGGAGGTCAATGTGGCTGTGGGCCCCCTGAAATTTGAAACTTATAATTGTGGATAGAACCATTAAGGAATAAGGCTGAGGATAGACCATCCATCATTCCGTGAGTACCTTAAGTGCTAGGCAATAGTAGGAGCTGGAGTTGAGATCCTGAAAAGTGGTCAGAATTTGGAAAAAATGCTCACAAATGCTCAGTCCCCTGGGAAACCCAGACAGGAGCCTCACGAATGCAAATTACAGAACTAGGAAGTGAGCTCACCCCACTGTCCTGCCCAGTTGGTCTCTCAAAGACTCACTGGGAAGGAGGACCTAAAGCAGGGAGGTGTGGGGGTAGGAGAGGTGTAGGGGAGGTCACCAAAGAAAGTAGGAGTGGAAGGGGCGCTTGCGTGGTTCAGTTGGTTAAGCAACTGCCTTCGGCTCAGGTCATGATCTTGGCGTCCTGGGATCGAGCCCCACTCTCCCTGCTCAGCGAAGAGTCCGCTTCTCCCTCTCCCACTGCCTGCCGCTCCCCTTGCTTATGCTTTCTCTCTCTCTCTGTCAAATGAATAAATAAAATCTTAAAAAAAAAAAAAGAAAGTAGGAGTGGAGGATGAAGGAATGGAGTGGGGGGACAAAGAAGGCTAGAAAAACTAAGGGGTTTGGTTGATAAGGATCAGGAACAGTGATTTCTGATATCTACTTAATGTAACAGAACTTCCTCTTAAGGAAAGATCTTGGAGAGAGTTTTGTTCCACTGGGTATTTTGACTGGTTATAGACTTATAAAGGGCCAAGACTGATTTGGGGATTAGGGGCTGAAGACAGATGAGGTATGCTGCCTGACAGAACACTTTTTTTTTTTTAAGATTTTATTTATTTTGACAGAGAGAGACACAGCGAGAGAGGGAACACAAGCTCGACGAGTGAGAGAGGGAGAAGCAGGCTTCCTGCTGCGCAGGGAGCCCGATATGGGGCTCGAACCCAGGACCCTGGGATCATGACCTGAGCCAAAGGCAGATGCTTAACGACTGAGCCACTCAGACGCCCTCTGACAGAACGCTTCTGAAAGGCAGTCTGTGCAGGGTGAGGGATGGTGTCAGCAAGATAGTCAGTGCCTTTACTGCCTTGTGAGGTAGCCAGACCACTGATAAATCTCTGGAATGGGACCGACCATTGAGAACAAGAATATCCAAAATGCAATTTTAAGTTGTACCCCTATGATATATAAACCTTCAGCAAAAGTTTTGCCACACCTAACAACAGCCTTCTGTTTGCAGTTCATTTGGAGGAAAATTCCAGAAAGCCCTGTGTCCCAAATTTGGAAACTGTGGCAGGGCAGAAGTAAGGGAACAGGCAGGGGCACAGAGACAGGAACAGGACTTTAGCTGAGTGGGAACGAGAGGTGACTACAACAGCTGACCCACTGGAACTGGTGCCAAGTGACAGTTCTGCCTCCTGCCCACTCTGTCCAGGACCTGTCCTGCTTGGAAGGCGAGGAGTGTCTTACCTAGATATCAAGGAGCAGGGTGGCCCCCGCTGACATCCAGCCTATGGTCACTGCTCCAGACCGAGGGTTTAGTCAGGCCCTCAAAACTAATGAAAATCATCAAAAGAGAAGTGCTTCTGTGGGCCTGTCCCTGGAGATGCAAGCGAAGGAGGGAGCTTATGAGAAGAGAAGATGTATCTCTGTGCCAGCAGGTGTGGCGAGAAGCCACACCCCAAGAGAGAATGTGGTAGTGGCAGATTCCCAGGGAGAGGTCAGCAGGCTGCACTCCCAGGGCCTGTAGACAAGAGGAAGGAACTATCCAGGGAGCCAGTCCAGGACAGGCCAAGACTTACCAGAAATTGATGCAAACAGCACAGAAGGCAGGAGATGAGGTCATTCCATTTGCCCAGAGGAAAGTGAGGTCCCGAAAGCTGGCTTTCCTCCTCCTGGCCAGGGTCCGCCAGGAGAGCCAGGCAGACCCTGCTCCTGCCCTTCCCCCCATGAAGAGGGGATGATGGGCCCTAGCACAGAGCACCGAGGCCTCCTTCACATGGGTGAGCAGCTTGTGGCTAGTCAAAGTTGTCAGTCCTCGAAGGGTCCTCCAATTCCACTTCCCGAAAGTTCTCCCTAAAGATCCCAACTCTTCATTGTTCCTGCATGGTGTCATCCATCCCCACACAACCCTGCCTCCCCGTGCCCGCCCAGGGTTTAAGATTCACAGGGAAGGGGTGCCTGGGTGGCTCAGTTGGTTAAGCGTCCAACTCCAGGTTTCGGCTCAGGTCATGATCTCGTGGGTGGTGGGATGAAGCCCCTCATGGGGCTCCGCGCTCAGCAGGGAGTCTGCTTGAAGATTCTCTCCCTCTGCCTCTCCCCCTACACTCTCTCTCTCAAATAAATACATCTTTTTAAAAAAAAAGATTCACAGTGAAAATAGTGACCATAATCTGGGGATGGGGCTGGACCGTTCGTGACAGCCCCATCCTCAGATCCCAAGGTTATCAGTCTGAGGTGGGAATTCAGGCACCCTGCCGGATAGTGAGAAGGATGGTTGTGTAGAAATAATTCTGCAGATCACACTCATAGGTGGCTTCCCACATGTGCGGACCCTCTTAAAGAGAAGAAGGGGCTGGGGAAAGGCAAGAGGATGGAAAATATGAAGAGAAAGGAAACTAGAGTGAGATAGAGAACAGAGCTAACAGGTGAGGTCACAGGAGTGTGACATTTTATGAGCAGTGTGGAAAGAACAGCAAAGCCCCTGAATGAAAAGTGGCCTGGAGAAATAAGCCATGCTTATAAGCCAGGACTCAAAGAGAGAAAAGTCCAGCAAGTTCCAATGTCCCCAGATCAGCCTTACCTGGAGAACAGCGGAAACAGGGAAGAGATGACCCAGGGAATCTGATCCCAAGTGCCAAGGCTGGGAAGGGAGGATGAAGATGATAGTGAGATGACCAGGGAAAGCTGGACGGACTGGAGTGATACCCGTCCCCCAGGCTGGCAGGAAGATGAAATGAGATCACACATGATCTCCTAGCAGAGTCCAACAGAGAGGAGAACACAGGTTTAAGTCCCTTGTTTGCAATTCTGAACCATTCTGTAGCAAAGTCTTTTGGCCATAAAAGCAGACCTCAGTTGATGCAAGGGTTAATTACGGTCCTTATTCACCCCACTTAGCTTAAATATTCAATTCTTTTATTAAAAAAAGATTTTATTTACTTATTTGAGAGAAAGAGAGAGAGAGGGCATGAGCTGTGAGGAGGGGCAGAGCCAGAGGGAGAGGGAGAAACAGGCTCCCCACCGAACAGGGAGCCCCGATGTGGGGTCAATCCCAGGACCCCGAGATCATGACCTGAGCTGAAGGCAGATGCTTAACGGACTGGGCCACCCAGGTGCCCAAGTATTCAATTCTTTTGCTGCAGAAATGTTGTGCTTGATTGAGTGCTACCTCGGCCCTGTGAGGGCATCTTGCGGTGCTAGTTACTTCCCAGAATCTGAAAGATTCTTAATTCTAAAACTTATCTGACCCCAAGAGTTTCAGCTCAAAGTCTGTGGACCTGTACTCAGTTCAGGCTCCCCCTCCTTCTCTAAACTGGTATTAGCTTGCAAGCTGTGAACAGGGGGCAACGTGGGCATCTTTGCATCTGAGCACGTGAACAGGAGAGGTGGCAACCCCATCCAACACTCTGTAGAAGAGGCAGGCACGGGTGGGTTACGATCTCAGCAGGCACAAGAGCGAGATGGCAACCAGGAGAGGCCGACGTGTTGGGGGGATGGAGGTCTTTGAAGAGCAGCAGGTCTTCTGACAGTGCTTGCCCTTTAATACTCTCTTTGGCACCCAGCATCCAGCACCCAGCACCCAGCACACGGAAAAGGGGGAGGGGGTGGAAGTCACTGCTCTGTGAAAAAAAACCAGCCACAATAGAGCTGCAGCTGCCATCAAAGGTCGGCTTGCCACCTGAAGCCAGCAACTCGAAGAGGGCCTGCAGCTGCTGCCCAGGAAGTACAGAGACTAGGGCACCAGCACCCCGCTGGAGGGGCCAGCTCCACGGAGGCCAGCCGTCAGCAACTGGAGCGCAGAAAGGGCTCCCTGGGCAAGAGCCATGGCCCGGCCACCTCCCTGCTGGCTGTGGCTTCTGGGGACCCTGGCGGGGCTCTCGGCGACCCCAGCCCCCAAGCGCTGTCTGGAGAAGCAATACTGGGTCCAGGGAGAACTGTGCTGCCAGGCGTGTAAGCCAGGTAAGAGCAGGAGGCCTCGCAGCAGGGGGCGGGGGGGGCGGGAAGGGCAGCAGAGAGTGCGTCTCAGCTCAAGCAAGGACAGGAATCCTGTACCACCTTGAAGACGGCAGAGAAGCGGCCTTCCTTGGGCCTTGACCCTGGACCTCTGCTCACAGGGACTTTCCTCGTGAAGGACTGTGACAGGCCTGGCGAGGCTGCTCAGTGTGACCCGTGCGTCCTGGGGGCCTCCTTCTCACCAGACCACCATTCCCGGCGCCACTGTGAGAGCTGTCGGCATTGTAACTCCGGTGAGATGGGCAAGCCTCTGGGGGAGCAAGGTGGCAGAGCTGGGTGTGGAGAAGCAAGGAGGAGGGGGTCTGAGCTCGTCACTTCGAGGCTACTGCAAGTGGAGCCAATGCAGGGCACTGGGCAGGGCAGGGCACATATTAATGTGGGGAGAACTCTGGTGTTACAGGGAAGGGGTCAGCAGAATTGGGGGGCTGCCAAGACTGCATGTACAACTCAGATCACGACAAGAAAAAGGAGTAAGTGGAAAAAAAGGGGAGGAAGGAAGTGGCCCTAGGTCCCCAGATTTCAGATGAGCAACCCCCTCCCCCCCATTGACGAACTGGCTGTCTGAAGTGCGCATTTGTTTAGAACCTGAAGTACCTCTTTCTTAGGGTATAACAATACCAGCCAGTGGAGAACATCCTTCTTCTTCGTCTTTTTTTTCTTTTTTTTTTTTTTGCACAAAAGCCAATTTAGGAAAATGAATATGTATGCGGCCCATGTTTTTCTTGTTTATTTTGTCATTTTATCTTTCTTCAATGAAGAAGTGTAATGTCTGCAGCTCTGTTATGAATTCTTTTATTATTCCTCCAGCTTAGCTAGAATTTCAGAAACTGTGCCAGCCAGGATAGAGTCACAGACTCTAAAGCGGCCCCTTTGAACGAACGTTCCCCCTAGGGACCCTTCTGAGGACTCTGGAACTGAAGTACTCCACGGCTTACCTATAAAATGTGCTTGGTCTCAGTAGGCCTTTTACACTGTCGTCTTTAAAAATGAACTCAGCAAAAGGTTTTGCCATTGCCAATCAGTCAAAAAACAACATCTTAAATACACAAGTATTCCTCAGTCCACTTAACTTAAAAATATGTTAAGGGATGCTTTTCTCTTCTTGGCAGCAACCCCAGCAGGGTTGGAATATTTTGGTCAGAGCCTCCCCACTCGCTGTAGGCCCCACCAGAAGGCCATTTCCCAATACTGAGCCTGCCCGCGCTCCCTTCGCTGTGCTCCATGACCCTTCTCTGAAACACTCAGCCCAGAGGTCTCCATAGCACCCATGCAGCGACTGGCTGCAGGACTCCAGGGGATGGTGGCCAGGGGTGAGGTGGTCAGGGGGAGGCTGAATGAGTATGGCCCCCTCTGGACCTCAGCGTTCCCATGGGTAAGATGGAGAAGTGCCTGACATCGGCCTGGAATTTGGGGCACAGGTTATACGCGGAGAAGAGAACTCCCAGGTCTCTGGATCCTCATCACTGAAAACCGTGGCAATCCTTCCACGGGTAACCAAGCCCAGCCCTGCCCTTAACCCTTCTTCCCTTTGGGCAGATACCCTCCTGACCACCGCCTCTGGTGATCTTCCTCACCTTTGCCTATCTCTTCTCTCTCTCACGGCCACTGTTACCTCCCCTATCACTGTTCTCGTCCTGCAGACCCTTGTCCAGGCTGGCTCACGATTCCTGGTAAGCCACAAGGAAACCAAATTCTGGTAGCAACTACAAGTCAGAATTCCAAAAGAAGCAACCATACGGGCATAAGGATGGGAAGAAGGAATCTGTGTCCCTCTCCCTTTTCTGACAAAAGGCATCTGCTAAAGGAATTGTTAGAGCCCTGGTCGTCATCTTTGGCCCATCCTCCAGCCTTCCTTTCTGCACCCCTCTTCTGCCTGTCAGGAAAGGCACTGTCCCAGGGCCCCACCAGGCTAGGCTGAAGCCTGGCCCAAATCCGGGTGCTGGTGCCTTCCCCAGAAGCACCTTCCTCTTCTTAACACTGACCACCTGTGAGCCCAACCCAGCCCAGTGCCCCTCACATCCTCCTCCCCTAGTATAATTTATCGGCAGTCACTCAGCACCTGATGTCTACACTTGAATAAAATTTATATTCTAAAGGCAAAGTATGTTATTAATCAAGGAACTCTCTAGTAACAGGGACCATAGCAGCACTATTCCTGACTGCTTAAAAACTGGAAACTACCCAAATGCCCGTTAACAGAACAGACACATGAATCATGGTATATTCATACAGTGAAATGCTATACAGCATGAGAATGAACAGTCTGCAGTTACGATATGGATGAATTTCACAAAGGATTGAGTAAGAGTGTCAGACACAAGTGAGTACCCAGGCATGACTACACAAATACAGGACAAAAATAAGCAAAATGAACTTGCAGTGTTAGGAAGTCAGGCTTGTGGCTATCTGTGGGTGAGAGGACATAGCGCCTAGAGAGGAACACTGCCGCTCTTGTTCAGGGGTCCAGTTTGTAGCAAGTTCACACTTATGACCTGTGTACCTCTCTGTCCACCCACTGAGAAGTTATCAAAATGCCAGTGAATAGGAGAGAAAATCCTGCAAGCTGTTTCTACTTTTTATAGTTGGCATTTCTGAGCCATGAATAAAGGAAAAGCCCCAAGTGTCTCCTTTAATGATGCTAGTAATAAAGGCAGAGGCACTGGGTGACAGGAAGGGAGGGGCAGGCCTTTGTGTGGTTGGGGCAGGAGTCCCCGGAGGTGGGCCTGGGATGGGAGCCCAGGACAGGATTTAGCAAGTGCGCCTGGCAGGTCTCTGAGGCCTGAGCTTCTTGTGTTCCTCCTGCCCTCCTCTGTCCCCAGGTCTTCTCATCCGAAACTGCACCCTCACCACAAATGCAGAGTGTGCCTGCCCCAAGGGCTGGCAGTGCAGGGACAAGGAGTGCACGGAGTGTGATCCTCCTTCAAACGCCTTGCTGACACTGCCTCGACCATCCCGGGCCCCGGGCCCACACCCACAACCCACCCACTTACCTTACGCCAAAAGTAAGTTCCAGGCAACACTTTGTCCAGTCACGGGGATAAGGGTCGTGCCCCAACCACCACCCTCCTCACATAAGCTGCCTGGTCAGCCAGTCAGCCTTCCCATCTCCCCGTGCCTCTTAGGCCTTGGGCCTTCCTTCAGCCCAGGCTTGTGCCCTAGGAGGTTCCCTGCTGCTGCTCACCCTGTCTCTTTTTCCAGAGATGCAGGAGGCCAGGACAGTCCGGCAGGTGCAGACTCTGGCTGACTTCAGTTGGCTGCCTGCCCCAGCTCTCTCCACCCACTGGCCACGTGAGTTTTCTCCCCATTCTCTACCTCCGGAGAGACTGCATACATGAGAGGGAAGCCAGCCAGAAAGCTCCTAGGAGTCAGGGGAAGAAGGGGAAGAAGCAGAGTCTAGGGATTAGGAAAGAACTTGGTCCAATGGTAGCAGTGGGGGAGGGGGTGGGAGAGAGATGGGAGGAGGGGTGACAGCCTGCCTGGGCTGAGGGGAAACAAGGCCTAGGCCCTCTCCAAAAACCCTTGCATGGCCCCTGCCTATCACAGCCCAAAGGTCCCTGTGCAGCTCAGATTGCATCCGCATCTTTGTGATTCTCTCTGGAATGTTTCTTGCTTTCACCATGATCGGAGCCCTGTTCTTCCATCAACAAAGAAAACACAGACTAAGTAAGAGACAAAATACAGGTCTTCAGTCCTGTCCCTGCACCCTACCCTACCACCCCAGCCCCGCTGTCCGTGCCTGGAAACTCACAGAAGCCTTCCTCACTCCATCTTTACCAATCCTGGCTCCCACCTCCTCTTCCTTTCCTCTTAGCTGGCAGCCCCCTGACAGCCCTCCCCCAGGCTGACCCTCCTTGGCTCATCTCCACTCCCTTCACCACCCCCCACCCCCCCTGCCCGCCAAGGTTCATCTGATTCTCCTCCCGCAGACAAAGAAGAAAGTCCAGTGGTGCCTGCAGAGCCTTGTCCTTACAGCTGCCCCAGGGAAGAAGAGGGCGGCGCCATCCCCATTCAGGAAGATTACCGAAAACCAGAACCTGCTTCCTACTCCTGAGCTTGCGCACCGCGCGATGGGGCGGGGAGGGGGCGGGTCATCACTACAATAAAATCCCTGCCTCTATCCCAACCCAGCAGCCATCCACCGGGAATGAGACCTGGCACACCCCACCCCCACTCCCCAGCCCCACCCCCACCCCCACCCCCGGGTTTCAGTACCATCCTGTCATCAAGACCCTTTCCTGTGCGCAGACTTGAGAAAGTGCCTTTTGGAGATTGGCAGTGACAAGGGCGCATGGGAAGAGGTGGAGGGTGGGGCGCAGGGGTCCCGTGTGTGCCCTGGCCCAGCCACCTTCACCCCTGCGCTGCACTGGAGGGCTGGGGCCCTAGCTGGAGAACACACTTTCCCCTACGAACCACCACGTGCTGTATCACTGACCTAAAAATTCGGCAAAATAAAGTGCCAGCCAACCACACACCCAAGCTCTCCCCGCGCTGTCTCTCTGAAATTCCAATCTCATGGTGCAGGCCACTCCCAGCCTCTTCTCCCAGATCCAGGATCTGAGGGAGGAGCTTTCTCCAGTGCAGACTAGTGTTGGGGCCCGGCCAAGTCGGGGGGTGGGGGTCGCGAGCGGGTGTGGCACCCACAGAAACTGAAGAAAGGTCCCCAGTAGCCCTTCGGTCTCGCCCTTCCCCCTCCCCCTTATTTCAGCTCCACTTTTTCTTGGGTGGGGAGCAAAAGGGTGCATGCAGTCAAGTCAGGTCTTGAGATAACCAGAGGATTTGGCGGGGGAGAAAAAGGAGAACAATGAACAGGACTCTGGCAGGAGCACCCGGTGGCTTCGCTCCCAGGCAAAGGCAGCCGCGGTGACACTCAAAGTGAAAGCGAAAGAGAAGGAGGCCAAGGACTGGCGAGAAAGCAACAGGCCGGCGAGAGTGGTTTGGAGGCCCCCTCTTCCCCAGCCGGGCCGTGCCAGCGGGAGGCCGTGCAGAAAGGCGGTGGGGGACGCGGGGGGACGAGGGGCGGGCGCGCCTGCCCCCATGGGCACGGGGGACGGATGGTGCCTGCTGCTCTGCCTGGCTCTGTCCCGGGTGGCGGCTGACCCAGGTGAGTGGGGAGCACTGGCTGGGGTGTGGGGGGGTGTCGGGCCCAGGGCGGACCAGGTAGCCACCTGCCGTGAGATTCCCGAAGGGGAAAGGGTTGCGGGGAGGGGCAGGGATGGCTTCCTATCGCCTCCTAAGCCCAACAGGAACCAACAGGAAAAAGGCTGGCAGAGTAGGACACCAATGGTGTTGGGGAGAGGGTAGAAGACTGTGGGAAAGGCCAAATGATGAGAAGAGGGGCCTCCTGGGTGGATGTGGTGGGGGCCTAGCCGAGAGGGCACTGCCTGGGAGCAGACGGTGAAGAGGAAGGCTTCCCGGGGCTAGTAAATCCCCGCGGGAGGTGAGCCCTGGAGGTGGGGGAGGGGAAGGCCACCTGTAATGGCAGAAAGCGGAGCCGACCTAGTGGGCTGGCTGGGAAATTGAAAGGATGGTTGCCAAGGCCCCAAGCCACACAAGTGTCCTGTCTCCTCTCCCAGTGGCAATTTTGCTCATTTATTTGCTTTTGCTGAAAATTTCTTTGACCGAAGAGGTAGTTTTTTTGCGACAGTTGTAGTAAGAATAAAAACAAAGTCTTCTGAGCAAGGCAAATCGAGCATTTTAAATAATTCATACCAAGTATGTACCTGGAGTAGCAGGGGCTTCCCAGAAGGCTGATTTGGGGGTGACGAGAGAGACACAGAGACAGCTAGGACCCTGGAAGATTTTGACCCCTTCCTTGATGACTCCACAGTTGGGGTGGGTGACCCTCGAGCACAGAAGCAACTCTCTGGGAAGAGGGTGCTCACCCCCATCTTTTAACCTGCAGCTGAAAGGCAGTGGCGGGCAGTGGATGTGGTCCTAAACTGCTTCCTGGTGGAGGAAGGTAGGCAGCATGGAGGTTTTGCCAGCAGTAGGAACACGGTGAAGGCCTTGCTCGTGCTGAGGCAGGTACCAGTGCTGGATGACGGCTCCCTGGAAGGCTTCACCGATTTCCAAGGGGGCACACTGGCCAAAGACAACCCACCTGTTACCTTCGAGGCCTCGGGTAAGAACCCTCCACTCTATGTCACAATCTCTCTGGGCTCCCTCGGCTGAGACAGCCCAGTTCCCGAGTATGCCCACCGTGCCGGCTTCCCATGGGCCAGGTGTCCTCAAACCAACTAGACTTCTGTGCTGCCCTTCTCCCCCAGTGAACCTGGTACAGATTCCCCAGGCCGAGGCCTTGCTCCATGCTGACTGCAACGGGAAGGAGGTGACCTGTGAGATCTCCCACTATTTTCTCCAGGCCACTGAGAAGGCAGCTTGGTTCATCACCAATGTGCAGGTATCCGGAGGGGGACCTAGTGTCTCCATGGTGATGAAGACTCCCAGGGATGCGGAAAATGGGGCTGTCTTGCACCCCACACTGAACCTGCCCTTGAACCCCCATGGGATGGTACAGACTGCAGGTGAGAAAATTAAAAGTAGCAGAAAGAAAGTTTGGGTTTTTTTTTTTTCAAGTGGTCAGCTATAGAGGGGGAACAGAAGGAGAAGGAAGGGAACAAGCCCACCTCTATCCACATCAGTCATCTCAAGGTGTCCCTAGCTTCGGTCCTTTCTCCTAAAGACCCAAATAATTGGATTGGGATAATTTTCACCTCTGGGATAATTTTCACCTCCCTCATCTAAGGAAATGACATGTGATGCTCTATTCACATATGCTGTCCCTAGCAGTCTTATTAAGCCAAGTACCAGTTGTAGCCCAGTGAAAGCCAGCCTGGTCTGGCGCTTCAAGATGATTAGAGCAACTACAGTGATGCAAATTCGTTCATTAGCTCTTATTAGTAAAACCTGGTCCTTGCCCTCTCCCACCCAGCACATCCCACCCAGCGGGTACAGGAAATTGAGAACATGATGATAGGTTTCTCCAGAATTCATCAAATCCAGTATTTTGCCTCCAAAAAGAGACAACCAAGTCCAGAGATTAAGGGGCTACCCTCCTATCCATAGAAAGCCCCAGAACACTCAAAGCTTTCTGTGGTGCAACCTAAATTTATCCTGCCACATTAGAAAAGAGGGGTTCTCATATCTGTCCAGTGGCACAGCTAAGTACCCCCCCTTTTATCTTGGGATATTTCAAACCTACAAGAAAAGGTGAAAGAATAATGGGCAAAGAATTGGGTAAAAAAATTGGGTACTGAATACCCAATTACTAATATTTTGCCACATTCTCTCTCTTGATAAATGGAAGAGTAGATCGCCTCCCCCCTGAACTAACTGAAAGTTGCAGATATCACAACACTTCACCCCAAAAGTTTCCATGCAGAGCATGTATTCATTTAGAACACAAAATTGATAACCAAAGACAAGGATATTCTCCTTCATAATCACAAAACCATCACCCCAGCAGCAAACCAAGGTGGGGGAGCGGTTTACAGTGGTGCAGGCAATAAGGGGGTACAGTGTGTTAAGAACTCAACAACATATTCTCACCATCACACCATCACCATATCGGCAATCTTGAACACTACTGGTGATAAAATACTCCTCTCTGCCAGGGCACTCTTCCCATTGCCCCCACCACTGCTTGCTATGCCACTGAGCATCAGACTTAAGAAATTTTTTAATTGATATAGTAGTACTGTCAATATAGAGTCCAAATTCAAACTTCTCCAGTTGTCCCGAGAATGTTCTTTATAGCTTTCTGGTTTGTTTTGGAGATTTTTTTTTTTTTTTTAAAGGCCAGGATTCAAACAAGGATCACGCATTGCATTTAGTTGTCCTGTGCCTTTAGCTTCCTTTTTTTTTTTTTTAAGATTTTATTTATTCACCTGACAGAGAGAGAGAGAGAGAGAGAGCACAAGCAGGGGGAGCAGGAGAGGGAGAAGCAGACTCCCTGATCAGCAGGGGCCCAACACGGAGCCTGATCCCAGGACCCCGAGTTCATGACCTGAGCCAAAGGCAGGCACTCAACCAACCAAGCCACCCAGGTGTCCCAAGCTTTTAGCTTCCTTAAGTCCAGAACATTCTTTTCCTCGCACTGACATTTGGAGAGTCCAGGCCCACTGTCTCGAAGAGTATCCCACCATTTGGATGTGTCTGATTGTTCCTCATTAGATTCAGGTTCAGCACGTTTGGCACAAATACCACCACTGTGTGCTTTTTAAAACTCTTACTCCTATGTAGTCTCACAGCAGCCTTTCCTTAAACAGATGACCCTGGCAACCCTTAGTGACTTGCCCAAGGTCACAGAGCTAGTAAGTGGAAGAAGCAGGGTTCCAGAGCTTTTTCTGCTATTCCAGTGGTCTGACCTGAAGGTCAACATTAACCCATAATTTTGCATATGTACTTTTCTGGTGAGAAGTCCGTAGCTTTTGTCAGACTGTCCAGGGGTAAGTGACTCAAAAACAGGATTACCATGTGTGCCAGGCTGCCTTTCCAGAGCACCATTTCTTTGTGGTTCCATCTAGTGGGAGTTGAGCTCAACCAGCCTCATTGTCCAGAGGAGGAGGCAGGGGCAGGTGGACGCCCACCACATGCCCACACCTAGAGATCAGGTGGACTCAAGGAGGAAGTAGCCCACAATCACCCTTCTTTTTCTCACTACAGTGGAGCTCCAAGTGACCACACAGACCCCGTCCCTGAACTTCCTGCTGGGGTCCTCAGCCTCCCTGCACTGCGGCTTCTCCATGGCACCAGGCTTGGAGCTGACCGGTGTGGAGTGGCGGCTGCGTCATAAGGGCAACGGCGAGCTGGTATACCGCTGGACCAGGGCGCAGCGGCAGGCCAAGCGGGAGGGCGCCACCCTGGAGCCTGAGCAGCTACTCCTGGCCGGGGATGCCTCCCTCACCCTGCCTAGCCTCACTCTGAAGGACGAGGGGACCTACATTTGCCAGATTACCACCTCTCTGTACCAAGCTCAACAAATCATCCAGTTCCACGTCCAAGGTTAGGCCATACTCAGTTCTCCAGGGAGAGGGGAAGGGATATGCCTATGCGAGCATTTTCCGGGACAGAATCCAACACGGGCAATTTCTCGGGAGGCAGACTGCATTGCCACGAACTAACTGCCATCTACATCCTAGGGGCACAGACTGCCCCCTGTCAGACTCTAGGATAATTCCACCAGGCAGTGTCCCAGCCCCGGGTCCTGCTGCCCTGTCCCAGCTGGCTGTCTCCCAAGTACCCCACTCCTCTGGACCACATCCTGAGGAGGGGCAGCAGCAAACCAAGGGGGGGCTGTGGGAGCCGTCCGACTGGCAGGAGTATTTCATCACTGATGTCCCTGAAAATCAGTGGCTTATCATGATGATAAGAAGCCAACCTTTACTTGGTTTTACTATTGCTTTTCAACTACCTGTGGAAGATGTGCCCCCTTCTGGCCTGCATCCAGGGTGGACCCCTTAAACCCACCTTGGGCACTCCACTGAGGGGTTAATTGACTTCAGCTTCCACAACCTACTCTCACTGCCAGCAGGAAGAGAAAGAAGGCTTTGGGCAACTCTGCTGTCAGGTTGGAGCCCTCTGGAATCTTATTCCTCATTCTTTCTTCCAGCTTCCCCCAAAGTACAACTGAGCTTGGAGAACAAAACTCCGCCAGCCACCCTCATCTGCAACATCGCTGGCTATTATCCTCTGGACATGGCCGTGACATGGACCCAAGAGGAACCAGGTGGAGCCCCGGTCCCAGTCTCTGGTGCCTCCTTCTCCAGCCTCCGGCAAAGCACAGCAGGCACCTACAGCATTTCCTCCTTCCTGAGGGTAGAACCTGGCCCTGCAGGCACCACTTACACCTGCCAGGTCACCCACAGCTCCCTGGAGCAGCCCCTCAGGGCCAGCGCCCAGGTCTCCCCACCAGGTACTAGGAGCGCCCTCCTTTCCCCACCTACCGACTTGGGCTCAAGGCTCTCGTGCCCCCAGCTTGTCTCTGGCCTTGTTCTGCTTCCCAAAGCACTTCGTTGAGACTCCGCTTCTTGGTTCCTGAGGCGGCAGCCTCCATAGCTGCCCCCACATCCCAAGATTCCGCTATACCCCAGGTTCCAGGGCACCAGGCAATGTACTGAGAGCTGGAGATCAAGGGTGAATTGTTCCTGCCCTCAAGCAGCTTAGTCAGCTTGGAGGGACAGACTAGGCAGTCAGGGAGGATGGCCTGGAGGAGACAAACCAGCCAAGCAAGCTAGCTCAGTGGGGAGGGGAACAACCAAGATGGAAAGAACGGCACATGGTGAAGGCCAAATTATAAAAGTCTCAGGAGAATTTGGGGAACTGCAGAGCTAGAGCCGGGGGTGTGTGGGAAAAGGGAGAAGTGGCCCTGAAGCTTGAAAGTAATTACATTTATTGAGCATTTACATGAAGCAAGCACTGTACTAAGCACTTAGCTGTATGATCACATGTATTAACATGACTCCCATTTTATTGATGAGCAAACTAGCACTTATGAATGTTAGGTAATTTGCCCAAGGTCACCCACCTAGTAAATGGTAAAATATGAAAAATGGGCAGCCTGACTGCCCTACAGCCTTAAACTCTCTATTGCTATTAGTGGGCAGATCACAATGGGCCCTCAAGCTGGAATGTCATCCTAAAGTCACAGAGTGTCATCGAACGGTTTTATTTTTTTTTTAAGATTTTATTTATTTATTTGACAGAGAAAGATAGTGAGAGAGGGAACACAAGCAGGGCGAGTGGGAGAGGAAGAAGCAGGCTTCCTGCTGAGCAGGGAGCCCAATGCAGGGCTTGATCCCAGGACCCTGAGATCATGACCTGAGCCGAAGGCAGATGCTTAACAACTGAGCCACCCAGGCGCTCCATCATCGAACGGTTTTAAACAAGAAATGCAAATGTCCAGGAGCATTGGGCATTCTTTGGTGGCTCGCCAGACTGCAAGCTTCCCCAGAACTGGGGTTTTTTTCTCAGCTTACATCATTCCCCAGCTAGTCGCAAAATTTCAGTTCACCTGTGAACTCATCTAACCTAAATCTCTCTGAATGTCCCAAGGTGGGAAGGGGTAGGAAATTCCGTGTGGAGGAGCACACGGATATCCAACAACCTTCAACAAGTACGAATACTACAGTGTGCCCAGTTCCTGGGTGAAAGCAGAACGCTTGACATAAGCTCCTTAACCGGGGATGGGGACACATTCGTGCACACGCGCTCTCTCTCTCTCTTCCTCTCTCTTCCTCTCTCTCTCTCCCCGCTTTTTCCCTCTTGCTGGGGTAGGCGTGGGCTTGGAAATTATTCCAACCTACTGATTCCTGCCCATGCTGCTCTCAACCTACAGAGCAGAAAACAGCCTTTGGAGTCCTTTTTGCCAGCAGCCTCTTCCTTCTTGCCCTGTTGTTCCTGGGGTTTCAGAGACGGCAAGGTAAGCACCTGCTTGCCCTCAGCCCTGCCCCTGCCCCTCCTTACTTGTAGAATCAGCCCGATCTAGCCACCTCCCCACCCAGACCAGGGATGAAGCCCAAGTGTCCTGCGTTCCAGCCAGTCTCCATACCACAGCCCCCTGCTTTTGGGGTTACCTCAACTGAAACCAACCTCCTTCCCTCTTGTTTTCTCCCAGCTACCTCACCAAGATCTGCCAAGACTCCAAGGCCCTCTGGGTAACCGCTCTCCTGCCTCTGAGAAAAGGAAAAAGTAGTCACATTCTCCCAGAAGGACTCCAGCCAAGTCTCAGAGCTCAAAAAGGCCCCAAGAAAGGCATGAAGGCACAGATCCTGGGGACTCTGGCTCTGTGTGGATGTCTGCCTTCCTTCATTGTGTGGGCTCCCGGGCTGAACACCAAGGGAGAAAACATGAAGAGGTGAGAGGGTGGTAGGAAAGCAGAGTGTCTGGGTGAAGGTTAAAAATGAGCCTGTGGTAGGAAAAGAAAATGGGAAGATATCAAGAAAGGAGTAAGTGGGCAAGTCATGTTCTCATGGTTTGTGAGATCAAGCCCCACAGTGGGCTCTACCCTCAGTGGGGGGTCTGCTTGAAGATTCTCTCCCTCTGCCTCTCCCCCCCACACTTGTGCTCTCGTTCTCTCTCTAAAATAAATAAATCTTTTTTAAAAAAAGGAGCAAGTCGGGGGCAGTGGGACAAAGGGGTGGGGGCTGGGCCATAACACAAGCATTTGAACTCTGTCCAAATAAAAGCCCCTTGTGTCCTCAGAAACAAAGCTTTTCCACTTTCCTGTCTTTCCCCACACTGGACCCAACTGAGCCGTGTCCCCAAGCCAGCTGCACCAACTTGCAGGGTGTTCAGGGTGTGAAACGAAGGCCCTCAGAGGCAGCCCTGGGGCGCCATGTCAGTTGCCCTGTGTAACCCTGAGCTGCAATTAAGGTAATTTTGGACAGCTACTGGGTGTTTCAGGATACCTACAAGCACCTCACTCCCTCAGCTGCAGGCAAGAGATTTCTCCTTTCATCCATTTCTAAAATGTGTCTGGTCAAGACAGTGGAACCCAGCAGAAAACTGGCCGTGAGGCTGCTGGGGAACAGGGTGTGTTCGCAGAGGCCTCATCTGGGCGCCCCCTCGGACAGGCCGGGCAGCCTGACAACCTAGGAAGGGGGTAGAGGGGAGGCGTCTGAGAAGACCTGCAGTGGTTTCTGATATGATGTCTGAGATGCCCACCCAACTTCCTGTCATCACTTTCTCTCACTAGCACCAGGTACGAACGCAGAGTGTAGAGACCACTTCCTCTGCCAACACATGGATCTTTAATCTCGAGAATGCCACCCGGCACACATAGCCAGCCTTCCGGCCTCACGCAACATCACACTGTGGAAGGAAAACAACCCCTCCCCCCCACCCCTCCTCAGTTACTCCAACCCAAACAACAACCAAGGCAGTTTAGTGGTAGGAATTTATATTTTTTTGCCTTTGTTCAGGATATATGAAGTTGGTAAATATGCCACATGCCTTTGGTGGAAGTACAACGGTTATTATTCTATACAAGTACGAGGTTGGGGGGAGGAAAAAAAGACAGAGGTGATGACACACAGTGGAAACCCCACATCGCCTCATGGCAAACCAAGGAAGAAGGGGATGTGGGAAGCTCGGCTTCATTTGACTGCAAAGTCCCAGGGTTTGGTTGCATATTTGCTCATGCACATGGGTGGTGGGAGGGAAGAGGGACAGCAAAGACACAGAAGAGGGTACAGGGTGGGGTGAGAAAGAAAGTAGAAGGCCAAACATCCCCAAAAGAACAAAGCCAACTCTATCTGGTGAGCCTCAGAGGGACCGAAACCCAGGAAAGAATTCCTGTGACAGGGCTGGGTGGGCCAAGAGTGCGAATTTGCTCCAGGCTCGGGACACATCGAGGACAGTGGTGGTTCTTCTCCAGCGGTGACCCCCTGCATTAGGCAAGGAGGAGCCCAAAGGAGAGTGGAGACCTTCGAGGGGGGCCGTTGGGAGGGTACACTGACTGCTTTCTTCCAGCTCTTCAGTCCTGCCCTGGGGCAGGACGAAGGGAATGTGGGAAAAGGGCAAAGGGAGAGGAAGGATGGTTTTGCGCAATGAAATGCTGCTGCATGGAAAGCGAGCATCCAGACCCGGCCCGGCCTGGCCTCAGCCTCTTCCTGCTTGTGGGCCAGAGGATGGGAGGAATAAGGGGTCATGGGTGTCCCTCCTACCTGCTCCCAGCCTCCCTCCTCCCCTCACACCTGGGTCTGTCCCACTTCACACCCTATCCTAAAGCCCAGCCATGGCCTCCCATCCTCAGGTTCCATTGTCTGCCCCCACAAACCATGCAGAGAGGAAAGGAAAGGAGGCAAAGTGGAATTCAGAAGGGTACCGGTGCTTTAGAAGGGGAACACAGTGCAGGAAGAACAGACAGGTGGCTCTAGATAAGAGGTCCCATGACAGCACAGCAGTGCACGTGCACACCTGTCCACAAATGGTCCCGCCTCCCACCCAAGACCGGGTTGGCAGGTATACTGGACTTCTCGGAATACTCAGAATCGGCCAGCCTCAGGAAGGACCTCCTGCTTCATCCCTGTCTTTGCTAAGTACATGGGAAGGGTGTAGAGGAAAGGAGTCCCCGAGAGCCCAAGGATCCTCATTTCTAACACCTCACACATTATCAATGGGCAGGGAGGAGCAGGACCCTCCACAACAAACAGGCAACAAGTGGCTTCCTCTGAGCTTGTTATTCTCAAATTAGGCCCTCGACTCATTGTCTCTCTATAATTAACACTCGTTCTCTCTTTGTGCCAACAATTAAAACTAACTCAGAGTCCCCAGCTTTGGCTATATGAAATTATTTGGTGCTCTCATGAACAGTACAGAATGCTGCAGAAAATGTGGACGAGAGACAGCCCCTTGTAGTTATGAGCTTAGGGGGCTGCTTCTAAGACGGGAATGAAGCCGGTCCTTTTGCAATTAACGTGTGTTCTGTAGGTCTCCAGAAAACAAAGCAAAAGGCCATAAGATCCCTGATGACACCGAAAATCTCAGACTAATAGATCAGAAATAACCGCAAAAACAGATTTGACTTTCTGAAAGGTACTACCGCAGAACCAAGTTGGACTTTGGACCCACCCCAGGCTCTTCTGAGGCCTGGCCTAGGAGAACAGCCCCAAGTGACCAGGGCAGTCCTGAGTGAGCTGCCATTCTCCCCGCTGTTCCCAGCCCCCTCCAGCAGCTGGCCTTTCCTGGTGACACCATGGGCACCAATACCCTTCTCCTCCCCCAATCTTGGCACCTTCTTGGGCATGTCACCGTGGCTACACGCCTTCCTCTTCTCTTGTCTTGTCCAACTCTTTTTGGCTTTGGGGGAAGCTGAGAGTACATAAGAGGGGGTAGTGAGGTGCCAGCTATGGCTCTTCAGGGAGTTACTTCGAGACTGTGCCACGAGCAGCACTTCTAGTGTTGTGGGACCCAGTGCAAATGAAAGCAACAGAAATGGAGGAATGGGCAATGGAGAAGCCAGGACAGGGTGGGGGAAGGTAGGCAGGGATGTTCGTTGAGAGAACAAACAGAGGGAGAGGGATGTCTCGATGGCAATGGAGAACAGGGAAGGGGTGGCACATTCTCAAGTAAAAAAGTAGACTGGACACAGGAATCAGGAAGTCCCAGATGGAAAAGAGAAAGAGACAGGAGAAAACAAGAGGGCAAATTACATCAAGTTACTGGACATTCAGGCCTTTCAGTTGCGGGTGTCCCATCCCTGTGGTCTCCCTCTGACCCAAGCCAGTGACAAACAGCATAGCCCCACTTCCTCAGAACAGGAGGGACCATCTTCCCATGGGATCTTGCAGAGGGAAGCCTTGTCCATCAAGGAAGTCCCTTGTCTTTGCTCTTCCTCCCTCCCAAACCAGGTGATGATCCCACAGCAGCAATCTCCATACCTCAGTCAGAGCAGCCCCACTCCCCAGGCAGGCAGGGCTGGGAGAAGACTCCAGGACCTTCCCACCTCTTCACCCCACCAGCAACCTCAGCGATACTTACTTACAATAACTACCACGATGATGGCACAGATGGCTCCCAGCATGATCATCATCTGAGGAAACATTGACCAAGAAATGGGTCCTTGGATTTGGGGAAGAGGAAAGAGATGTTCCCACTAGAGATGTGGGAAAAGAACTTCCTCTGTCCTTGGGACAGTGGAAGAAACCACACATTACCCAGGAGATAGGCAGGCCTCTCGGGGAGGGCAAACCCTCCTGTCTCATGTTCCCCATGAGACAACCACCCCTGCACCACCACTGAGGCTTCCCAGAAACATCAGAGCATCTGCAGCTTGCTCCATTTTGCTTGGCTCCTATTGCCTGAAGGCTTTGAAAGGAATGCCAGTGGAGGTGCAGACTTGGGATCTTTAGTCAGTTGGTTCATTTTTCATTATGAAGTATTCCGCTAATTCCTAAAAGCTGCAGGTATTTAAATATATACCTACCCTAGCCATCGTGTGGATGTTGGCTTTGTGTGGGGAAGGGCCAGGCGAGATTTTCCCAGGGGTCTTTGGGGAAAAGCAGCCTGACCGCTTCTGAGCTCCTCTGGTAGGGCTGGCACCCAGTTAGTGGTTCTGAGTACTCTGGCCTACCCTGGCGGCCAATTCTGGGTAATGCATCTCAAGGAGGCCTTCAGATTTCCTCCCCAGAGTTCGGCAGGGCAGAGATCCTGCGCCACCAGAGGGGAGGAAGGTAGAACCTGAGGGTTTTCTTGCCTTCTATGAGCTAAGGCCCAGGAAGAGAAGGCAGAGAGGACAAGACAACTCACCTTGCAGTTTTTCCACCAATACTTCCTCTTTAGCTTGGCAGCGCTGCTCTCAAATTGTGATGCTCCCACCTGCAAGGCATCAGCTCGGTCATCCAGCTGTGACAGTATCTCATCCCTCTTCAGGACCTTGTCCACATTCACACGCATGATGTCCACCACCTGAGGGGGGGTGCAGAAACAAAGCTAGTAAGCTTCCCTGCTAGAGACAGGGGTAAAAACAATGGAATCTCAAGTCTGGCCCTGTGTAACTCAGGGATGCCTTGCTTCCCAGAGCTTTTAGCTACCCCTCTATTTAAAAAAAAAAAAAAAGTTTCTAAACTTGTATCATCTGGAAACTCTCAAGAGAAAGAGTTCTCCACTTACTTCCTCCACTTGTGCCTGGGTTTGTTGTAGTCGTCTGTTACTGGTCGTATTAGGAGGAGGGCCTGGGGGACCCCCTCCTGGGGCAGTCCCTTCTGCCCCTTCAGTGGGTGGCTGAGCTGGAGCAGACCTGTGGAGGGAAGCGGACCAAGTACACAAAGTAACTGAGACAAGAAAGGAATCACGTGCATTCTTGCCGCCTATCACGAACACAATGGTGATTAGGCTACCTGCAACTGGAAGGGATTCTAACTTCTTGGTGACACCAAGTAGGGAGATGCAGCATAGAGGAAGAAGCAAGAGATGAAAGATCCTGTAACAACATTTAGGTGGGGTTCAAGGACATCCAGGGTGGCATCAAGAGATCCTGTTTGGGGCTATCCTTTCACCCAAATTCAAACATCCTCTACAGGGACATGGCTACAGGGACAAGTGTGCCAGCCTTGGACTAAACAGCACTTCCCTGACAGAAAAAAAAGCCTTTCACATAAAGCCAAACTAGAAAATTCCTCTTCAGGTTTAGAAGTTCGTACAAAAGACTAACAGCTACGGACCGAACAGCTCTTTTACGCAAAGTCTAAAGAAGACAAGCAAGTTGACGGACCTTGCTTAAGGGAAACCGGTTATTAGTTGTTTCACACATGACTAGTATATCGGGGCTGCTGTAAGGACAACTTGGAGAATCACCAAAGGCAAGGCTTCTGTTGGTAGAGTTGAGTCAGGACTGTTCGCTTGCTTTGTTTTTGGCAGAGAAGATGGGTGTTTCACTTAGATAGACCTGGGGTGCCAGGCAATTGTGTTAGTTATGAAATTGTTCCAAGAGCATAGACAGAAAGCAAGAATATGAGTAATGGTCCTCGATGTACATGCATCATAGACATTGTGTCCCTTCCTTTTCTAGATTTGGCATCAAGTCTCAGGAGGCTCCCCTAGTGCTTTATGTCTCAAAGGGAAATCATGGTTCACACTACTACACACAGAGATTGTTCTTTCTTTCCCTTAGCCTTAGAAGGGATGAATCTAGTGTGGGTCTTCAAGATAAACTCCTTTCCATGTCCCAACACACAGAGACTAAATTCACCTGCTAAAGAATTCCCAGAAATCTAACCTAAGGCATGAGATTTTTCTCTCCCAAGAAAGAACCCACCAGCAGAGGGAGATCTCTCAAACTTGATGGAGAATAGAAGTTATAGTAAGAACACCTCACAGAGGGGCACAATCTCACAAAACATACCTCACAGGAGCAGTACAAGAGTAAATGCATTAGGAATCAAATCATCACAAGTCACCAAAAAGGAAACCCCTTGACTACTCACAATAGAACTAATACCCAGAAAATTCTTCCTCCCTAAGTGAATTTCTTTTGGTCTAAAAAGATAAGAAAATAACTCTTCAGAGAGGCTTTACTAGCAGATTACACCCAACTCAACCCCATTAAAAGAAATCGCTTTCTCATCTCCCTCTAAAGCAAAAAGGAAGCAAAAGAAAGAAAGATACTAAGCCATGGAAGCCACAAGACTCTTATGTTACTACTGAGCTAAGCAATCTAGTTCTCTGAAGGTGGAAAATTCAGTGAGTAGCTAGCAGCCAGTATTTGGTGTTGGAAGCAGTCCAGGATGGTGGCACCAATGACAAGATTAAGGTCAGAGACCTCGTGATGCCTTGCTAGTCACCATGCTTTCTCCATTTCCTTCAGTTCATCCCACATGTGTGCTGTTGGGAACCAGTCCATTCACCTCCTCCCCAAAGTGTGGGTGGGGGGGAGGGCGACGAATGGAACCTTAGGGCTTGGCCAAAATGCTTAGAATATCACATACAGTTAAAACTGTAGAAATCAAATAGAGAAAAAGCAAAATTGTTATAAAGCGTCTGAAGGGACCATTTCACTTACTATTTGTTGGGAGTTGGGAACACTCAGCAATAAAACATCCAGCGGTAATCATAAACCATATGTCACATAAATAAATCTTTTCCCTTTTTTGTCACTAAGAGAAGCAACATAAATATATCTAGGACAAGCCAGGACTCCAGACAGTAATAAGAAAAAAAATCTCTATTAAATATACGGTGATCTCGCCACAGTTCTCCCTCAGGATCTTGGGACGGGGGTTGTGTTGAAGGGGGTCAGAGACTAAATTGAATTGTTGCGGTAAGGCAAGGATCTTCAGTTCTATTTCTCTTCCAAATACTTGGCTAAGACCGGATGACAGGAAAACAGCTTCTATACAGGTGGCCTTGAGATGAATGGCTGCTTGGAATCACATGCCACTGCCCCCTGAGTCTTTCTGAGCTGCTCACCTGGCGCCAAAGAACTGTCAGATAAGTTTCTGGTTCTTTGCTCACCGCCAAGAGGGGGTGGGCGAGTAGGGTAACACCGCACAGTTGGGGCAAGGGGCATACATAAATCCGGAGATTGCAGGGCAATTCAAGTTACTAACTGGCAAGTGCACCCATTACTGTTTCCAGAGGCCCTAAGTACAGATTCGATCAGACAACAAGAAAGAGTCTCGAACACCCTCCCCGATGTCTCTCCATGCCCCACCTTCGCCCTGTCCCGGGCTTCACTATTACCGAGACCTGAACGCGGCGCCCAGCAGACGCAGGCGAGAGGAGAGAGTGCCATGAAGGTGGGACCCCGGCGCCCCTACCCCGCCCGTGGGGTGCTGGCGTGGCTGCTGCAGGAATGGGGTGCTGCCCTCCCTCCCCAGGGGCGGCCAGGTCTGGGGGCGGCGCGCGGTGGTGGTTCCCCGCGCCGCCGCAGCTGCTGCAATGCGCCATTTTCCGTCCCGCAGAGTCCAGCGCTGGGAGTGGGAGTTGGCAAGGAGGTGTCGAGCCCCCCACACCAGAGTCAACTCACATTTCTGTGACGGTTGAGGGATCCGTCTTGTCTCCTGAGACTGCGGCCAGATACCTGGCCGGGGAAACGCTGCGGCTGAAGTCTACGAAGCTGCCAAGCTCCGCCTCCACCTGACCACTCGGAGCTCTAGCTGCGGTGGAAGTTACAGCAGCTGCCGCGCGGGACCCACACTTTATTAGCGTCGGCCACGCCTCCCAGTAACGTTGACAATCCCGCGGCCCAATAGACGCCCAGGACAGGCGCCCGTCCCGAAGGAGAGCCCAACTAAGGCCGAGCCCGCCCCGCCCCTGCAAGTTGGCCAATCCCAGCTCTCCTCTCCCAGCCCGTCTCCGCGAAGGAGAGGTTGCCGGGGGGATCGTTCACTGACCACTACAACTATAGTTTGCTTACCAGTCTAACAAAGCGACAGGGTTGAGTGGAAATATGCCCCAGCTCCCCGGAAGGGCGGGGCCAACGGTTTGATTTAGGCTCTTTGGGTACCTGCCAGCCAATCGCTGAGCAGTTCCTGAAGTCCGGGCCCACCCACAGCCCCCGGCGCCCGCAGCTCCAGCCAGTCACAGTCGCTGGCGGGCCTCAGCTTGCTGTCGCCCAGACCCCAGAGCGCTAGGGAACAAGGCGGTCCCGCCGTCTACTCACAGCGGGGCGCGCAGACCCTACCTTCCCACCCCTCACAAACAACTCTGAGGTGCGGAATCCATCGCGGCAGAGCCGTGGGCCCGTGTCACCCAGTACCGGGCGCGGGGTTCGGTCCCTCCAGAGCAATTACCAAGGCTTCATTCATCTTTTCCATTCAACATAGCCAGCAAGCTCCTCAAGCAATGTATCCTAAAACGAACTCCCCCTGCAAGCCCTCCACTTCTATCCCTCCCACATAGGTCACCACGTCGACTCAGTTGCCCAAATTAAAAACCTGGAAACCATCCTAGATTTCCTTACCCGTTCATCTGTACCCCTCCTCTGATAATTCACCGAAGTTGAGTCGATTTTTCCTTCTTTGTTTCTCAAGGATTCGCTCCCCCTCGTATCACGGTCCTGGTCTCACTTTATGCTATTATCCCTTGTCTGGACGCCATCAGTTGTAAAACTTAACCATTATTTTAGCTCCCATTAAGAAAAAAAGGTGGCAAATAAACTAACACCACGCTTTCTTATCACTTCGAATTTTTATTTTATGTTTATTGAAAGTGTAGATTTATAAAGATACAGATTCTATAATAGTTCACTCTTATGTGTACACAAAAAGGAAATTTAAAAAGAGTAACATGGTAACAATAGTCCCAAAACTTCACATTCAGAGCCTCCTAGGATTCTTTTTTTTTTTTTTCTGACTCAGTCTTAGATGTCCATGATTTTCCACACAATGTAGTCCTCTGTGCATGCCATCAAGGGCTGTGGTGATGCAGCATTTCTTAAAAGAATGTTCCTCTTCTGTCTCTGGAATTTTCTTCCAAGCCTCAGACACCCATTTCACAAGTTTTAATTCTTCTGAGTAGGTATGACAAATACAGTATGGCTACTGTCTGGCTGATAGTTATAATGAAACATCCCAATTTAGATGTTAAAATGAAAAAACAAAATGCCTCCTAGAATCAATGAAATATACCTTCTGCTTCTAGTCTTGCCCTCCCTCATATCCATCCTCTAAGAAACCACCAGGAAGATCTATCCAAATGTCACAACCCTGCTTAAACCCTTAAACCCCAGGGCGCCTGGGTGGCTCAGTTTGTTGGGCGACTGCCTTCGGCTCAGGTCATGATCCTGGAGTCCCGGGATCGAGTCCCACATCGGGCTCCCCGCTCGGCGGGGAGTCTGCTTCTCCCTCAGACCCTCTTCCCTCTCGTGCTCTCTATCTCTCATTCTCTCTCCCTCTCAAATAAATAAATAAAATTAAAAAAAATACAAACCCTTAAACCCCACCAAATCTACCCTGGGGGGGGGAAAAGGTGAAAAAAGTCAGTGAATTTTTTAAAAATTAAGGTGTTTTTAAACTTGTTGAAAAATAATTATAGATTCACACGAGGTGGCCCCCAAAAAAGTACAGGGAGGTTTCCCTATATCCCTTGACCTAGTTCCCCACAGTGGTAACAGTACAGTATTAAAACCAGGAAACTAACATTGGTACAATCCAGAGTTTATTCATATTTCACCAGTTTTACATGCATTCGTATATGTGGTTTTATGCAATATGTGTGTAGATTCCTGTAACCACAACCACAATCACCATACAGAACTATGACATTACTACAAGGCTCCCTGGTGCTATCCTTTTATAGCCACACCTGCCCCCATCCCTAACCCTTGTCAGCCACTAATTGTTTCTCCATCTTTATAACTTTATTTCAAGAATACTATAGAGTGGAAGGATACAGTATGAAACCTTTTAAGATTGGCTTTTTTTCCAGGGTGCCTGGGTGGCTCAGTCGTTAAGCGCCTGCCTTCAGCTCAGATCATGATCTCAGGGTCCTGGGATCAAGCCCCACATGCATCAGGCTTCCTGCTCAGTGGGAAGCCTGCTTCTCCTTCTCCCACTCCCCCTGCTTGTGTTCCCTCTCTCGCTGTCTCTCTGTTTAAAAGATTTTATTTGTTTGACAGAGAGAGAGACAGCGAGAGAGGGAACACAAGCAGGGGGAGTGGGAGAGAGAGAAGCAGGCTTCCCGCCAAGCAGGGGACCTGATGTGGGGCTTGATCCCAGGACCCCGGGATCATGACCTGAGCCGAAGGCAGACGCTTAACGACTGAGCCACCCAAGTGCCCCTAAATAAAATCTTAAAAAAAAAAAAATTGGCTTTTTTTCCTATTTTTGCCTATGGATGTCCAATTGCTCCAGGACCATTTGTTGAAAAAGCAGCCCTTCCTCCATGATGCCCTTGAAATCCATCCAACTTACCAATTTTCATTGCTGAATAGTATTCTGTGGAATAATTTGTTTAACCATCTACCCGATTAAAGGACATTTGGGCTGATTTCAGGTTGGGGCTGTTATGAACAGTTATGTACAAGTTTCCATGAACATGAATTTTCATTTCCCTGGGATAAATGTCCAAGAGTGCAATTACTGGGTAGGAAAGTAATTGCATGTTTAGTTTTAGAAGAAACTGCCAAACTGCTTTCCAGAGTCACTTTACCATTTAAATTCCCACCAGCAATGTATGTGGGATCCAATTTCTCCGCATTTTCACCAGCATTGGTGTTGTCAGGAATTTTTTTATTCTAGCCTTTTCAACAGGTCTATAGTGATATATCATTGTAGTTTTAATTCTCATTTCTCTGGTGGCTGATGATGTTGCACATGTTTTAATGTGTTTTTTACCATCCATATATCCTCTTTGGTGAGGGCTCTGCTCATGCCTTTTGCCCATTTTCTAATTGGGTTGTTCCTTTTTTTTACTATTGAGTTTTGGGAATTCTTTAAACATTCTAGATAAAGTATTTTGTCTGATAAGTGGTTTCTCCTGTTCTGTCATTTGTCTTTTCATCCTCTTAAAGGGAACTTTCATAGAGCAAAAATTTATCAACTTGTCCTTCTATGGATTATACTTTTGGTGTAAAGTCTAAGAACCTTTGCTAGCCCTAGGCCCTGATGATTTCTTTCTTTAAATTTTTTATTGTTATGTTAATCACCATACATTACATCATTAGTTTTTGATGTAGTGTTCCATGATTCATTGTTTGTGCATAACACCCAGTGCTCCACGCAGAACGTGCCCTCTTTAATACCCATCACCAGGCTAACCCATCCCCCCCACACCCCTCCCCTCTAGAACCCTCAGTTTGTTTTTCAGAGTCCATCGTCTCTCATGGTTCGTCTCCCCCTCCGATTCCCCCCCTTCATTCTTCCCTTCCTGCTATCTTCTTTTTTTTTTCTTAACATATATTGCATTATTTGTTTCAGAGGTACAGATCTGTGATTCAACAGATCTGCACAATTCACAGCACTCACCATAGCACATACCCTCCCCAATTAATGATTTCTTTCTTATTTTATTTTCTAAAAGTTGTATATTTTTATGTTTCACATGTAAGTCTGTGATCTATTTTGAGTTCATTGTTGTATAAGGTGTAAAGTTTATGTCAGAGTTCATTTTATTGCCTATCGATGTCCAATTACTCCAGGACCATTTGTTGAGAAAGCAAACTTTCCTCCGTTGAATTGCTTTTGCACCTTTGTCAAAAACCAGTTTAGCAACACAACCTAATGGCACACCTAAAGGAGCTGGAAAAAAAACAGCAAATAAAGCTTAAAGCCAGCAGAAGAAGAGAAATAATAAAGATTAGAGCAGAAATAAATGATATAGAAATAAAAAAAAACAGTAGAACAGATCAACAAAACTAAGAGTTGGTTCTTTGAAAGACTTAACAAAATTGATAAACCCCTAGCCAGACTTATCAAAAAGAAAAGAGAAAAAACCCACATAAATAAAATCATGAATGTAAAGAGGAGAGATCACAATGAATACTAAAAGAAATACAAACAATTATAAGAGAATATTATGAGCAATTATATGCCAACAAATTGGGCAACCTGGAAGAAATGGATAAATCCTAAAACATATAAACTACCAAAACTGAAACAGAAAGAAATAGAAAAATTGAACAGACCCACAACCAGGAAAGAAATTGAATCAGTAATCAAAAATCTCCAACAAACAATAGTCCAGGGCTGGATGGCTTCCCAGGGGAATTCTACCAAACATTTAAAGAAGAGTTTATACCTATTCTTCTCAAACTGTTTCAAAAAACAGAAATGGAAGGAAAACTTCCAAACTCATTCTATGGGGCCACCATTACTTTGTTTCCAAAAAAAAGACAAAGACTCCACTAAAAAGGAGAGTTACAGACCATTATCCCTAATGAACACAGATGCAAAAATTCTCAACAAGATACTAGAGAATCAAATCCAACAATACATTAAAAGAATTACTCACCATGATGGGTGCCTGGGTGGCTCAGTTGGTTAAGCGACTGCCTTCAGCCCTGGTCATGATCCTGGAGTCCCAGGATGGAGTCCCGGCATCATGCTTCCTGCTCAGCAGGGAGTCTGCTTCTCCCTCTGACCCTCCCCTCTCTCATGCTCTCTCTCTCTCTCTCTCATTCTCTCTCTCTCTCAAATAAATAAATAAATCTTTTAAAAAAGACACTT